ATAATTGCTATATTAATTGACAACATTACTTTTTTCGGGAGTGAGTAGGTTTTTTAAACTACCGGTAAATCATACATATGAGTTGTTTTCACCCTATTACGTTTAAAGTGATGAAATACTGGCAGCTGAAATTTCCTACAATGATATGAGTAGAGCTGATGCTTTCCATTAAATTTCGCATATCCTTGCTTTCAAAAAAGTGTTATCATCCAGGCTAGACTGCAGTTTTGATCTCGCATAGGACTTATCAACACCCAAAGACTAGTGGTTATCGTGTCGAACTAACACGCTGCACTGTCATGGTTCGACTCCATCCTGGGGTTTTGATAAAACCTATGCAAGGTTTAAACACAAAACTCCAGGAATTTTGCCCTAGCTACTTGTTTAGTTATATTCATATTAAGTGGTTTTTAATAATACAAGTAGATCTTGTCCCTAGAGAAGGATAATTTCTCAAAAGCTCTAAAATGTGAACACTTTAAATGCTTTTTAGAAAAAATTAATATAAAATTGCCTAAAGATTATTATTTTAAATTTTTCTCAATTTAAGTCTTTTCGACAGAGTTTAACACAATTGCGTATGTTGCCACCGCGTCTTCCATTCTTCTCATTACTGCCTCGGTCGCTTTTTCACTTCACATACAATCCAGCCTCGATGCGCAAGAGTATAGAGGAATGGAAGCAACAACTCCCAGATGATGTGTTTCGTATAACACGTCTCAAGGAAACTGAACAGGTATTAGCTTGTTCATTCGAGATTTAGCCGCACACAGGCTCTCTTTTGGAACACAAAGGAGTCGGCCTCTACAAATGTTTTTGTTGCGGCACTACTCTTTTTGAGTATGTTTTTTAAACCTAAGCCAGTGAAGTCTCTTTGTGAGATTGTCATGATATCTTGATATTTCTCATGGTAATTATAATGTGATAAAGCTGAAGAAATTTGTACACATGTATGCCTTAGACGCCTATCTTTCCTCATGATAATTGTTGCACATTTTTATTAATTTCATAGGTCCAATGCCAAATTTGAAAGTGGTAGTGGTTGGCCTGCCTTTTATAAGGCGTACGCTTCAACTGGGCGGGATGATTCCGCCTCAAATATAGAAAGACAAGTGGATAATTCTCTTGGCGTAAGGAGAATCGAAGCATTATGCAAAAATGTAAGTCCTCTTTACATATCTATTTTATGTGCTTCTTGCCTTCTAATTTTGAGAAATCTTAGTGTGATGCTCACTTGGGACATGTGTTCGAGGATGGCCCTCTTCCAACGAAACTGCGTTACTGTATTAATAGTGCTTGCTTAGTCTTCGAAAAATCGAAAGATGAATGACGGCTAATTTGTTTATGCCAGTTCTTTATTTTTAATTCTAGTTTTTCTTATGAAAATATGCTTGTCTATGCTAACTTGTCCTGCTATTTTGCTTGAACGAATGTACCTTGCGGCTTTTATATTAAATTATTGCCTATTATGTGTTGCTAATGCACATGTATTTCTTGATTTTAGTGGAATTTGGATAAATTTAATCAACTTAAAAGCTTTCGTAATCAAATTGCTTCGGAATTTGGTAATACTGACATGAATATCAAACTCTAGAAATCGATAAGTGGTCGTCATTACCATCGTTTGGCTGTCTAGTGCCTTCAGTTTCATCACGGTGTAGTCCTTAAAATCGGCCAGTATCTATGTAGTTAGTTTTATTGACCTCAGGTGTAAATTATTAAATTCGCAAAGATTTGCGTTCTACTATATAGTTGGCATTCACTCCTCTGGTAGCTTGTGTTGCCTAAAAGAGTCTGGCAAACAAAATTTGCTTAGAATCATCGTAGACTGGCCATCACTGGTCATGTAACGGGGTTTTTTCCCCTGCTAAGTCCCTGCATGGGCTTTCATTCGCACGAAATTCTTTCGCAATGAATTGCATATAAAGTGTTACTACTATAACAAACTCGGGAGACTGCTTCTTGCGGCCCATTCCAGGACTGCTTGAAGCCTACCCTGCCTTCACTTTATTTTTGCGATTATCTTATTTTAGTCAAGGTTCCTAGATATACTATTACTATTCATTTGCTGCCGATTCTTAGGGATAATACTTTATTCTATCTTGAATTTCAATCACTTTCGGTGGCTGTTATCTTAATTTGCTTCGGCCGCGGACGTACTTACGCTAATGTGCTTTTAGATATTCTATAGTTTTTAACTAGAGCCGCTCAATCAGTGTTTAAACAAACGGTTTTCTCTTGTTTTATTTTGGTTCATGTTTCGATGGGGAGTTTACGTTAATTTCATTCGAATTACTTCAACAAGTACAGCCCATCCTAGTGCAAAGTTGTTGCGCTGGTTGAAGTAACTCTACACGTCAATGGGTGCACGTAATTTCTCAAGTATGTCTTCAAACCACGATGCTGTACCTGGTCTCTAATTCTTAGTTCATCATAAACCAATTCCCGGAACTGAGGTGAGAAAAAAAGATGAACGCTGGACAATCGCTACCTCACTACCCGGGTTATGAGGATAATTAATATAAACTCGCTTTGGTGGTTCGCTTTTCGCCATCATATCCGCAGCCTACAATTTTCGTACTGCGCTTCAGTGACACCTTTGCTTTCTTTAAAACTTTCCTGTTCCTCCCCGATGGTTACCATTTATAATTTTCCTACTCAACTATGTACACAATAAGAATTATAATTTTAAGTATTTCACAAAATTCGCTCTTGGTTACTAGACAATCCATGGTTTTCTTTTTAACACCTAAGTTAACTAAGAACAGCCACTTTAGTTCGTTTAGGCCTGACCTAGAGGTTACTGGTTGGGTTTTTCTAACTGATATAAATAGACTTCACAAAACCGTTGAGTCCTACTTAGCCTTACCTTGCAGAGCTTCGCCTCATCTGCGTTGTAGTTAAGTTCAGGCATCTGGATTTCATTAGTGCTCCCAGCGGAATTCAATATTGAATTGTGAATGCTGTGGGTGTGTGGTGTAGTGGTAGACATCGCTACGACAACTCGGCATCGAATCTCACTGGGAATACCGGTGATAACCAGGTAGTCGGGGCTGCCTGGGATGAGATTATCTTTAAGAAGGCGAGGTTAAGTGAGATTCAATATATTTATCAGGCTTATCTACCTCGTTATAGTAAAACGTAATTCTCAGTCTCAATCACCCCAAGCGACCTAAAATGACTAAGTCCCTGCCCAGGACCTACCGGTAGTTTCGAAACCTACTTGTGCTGAGATTAAGTTGTATTTTCGTGATTCTTGGTTCGCGGAATCAGATTTAATAAAGGCACTGCCTCGAGACTGGTGCGTCTTAAGTACGTTATTAGAGGGGGAATATTTTCTAGTGCTGCTGAGCTGCAGTTTATTGAGGCTTTTTTTTAAAGCCATGAGCGGTTCGTTTGTCTGCCGCTTCGGAAAAGGAAGGCTTATAAGTTGAATTGAAATTCACTGGAACACCGTTTTTATAATTCCATCATACGGAGTTCATCAAACAAACATAACTTACGAATGCAACTGGTTCTAATCGTTTCGATATAGGCATGCTGATCATCTTGGATGTCGATGTCCAATATATACTGTGACTAGTGTAATGGGTTCCTCTAATTCGGGTATGGTACAAAACCTTATAATAGTCATATTAACCTACTAAATAGATTGTTTATCATTCCCTTCAGCAAAAAAGCTTTATTTACTTCCACCCACTTAAGCATCTCATTTAAAAATTTAAAGAAACTCAGGCTAAAACCACAATATTGTGTATTCTTGCTCGGTAATTATCCATACTCTCAGTTGATTTCTATAGAGCAAGTGTTCAAACAATACAAAAGGCTTCTACATTTATTTAAGGTAAGATGGCATCAGGAATTCCTTATAACCAACTATTATTCGAGATTTAAAGGCGTGTTACATTAGTCCACAAAAGTGTTACCTCAAAATCTAGTTTTTATTAATAATTTCGAGTAGATTTTTCATTTAGTATTTCTAGTCATTCTCTAATCCTAGGTTTTCTCGAAATTGTACAACATACATGCAGCGTTTCTGTCGATTTCCAATAGATATTGTTGCGCGTCAGTGTAATTGGTGCCGCAAATTCGGGTTTGATGCAAAACGATATACTAGCCAGATTAACTAACTAAATGCATTCTTTATCAATCCATTCAGCTCAAT